GACTTACTCTCCCTGCAGGTGGGGCTCACGCCCTCCTGATAAGGACAGGGATTGTTCCCATGGAGCCAGAGAACAGGTGAAACCTGCTCTGACATCCAGTCACCTGCCTTCCTGAGTCTAGGGTCCGCCCACCTTGTCACCTGTGTGCCCCCAATCCCTCCCCTTCCTATTTCATTTGAGGATGGCCTTAGATCTCCCCCTCTTGTCACGGTACTACCTACAGTGCAAGCCCTCCTGAGACGCAGGTCTTTACCTGTGATTAGCAGGCTTGCACATCCACGAAAGATATTTAAGCCTTAGTGAGCGATAACGCCCCCTCCTCTGTCCTCCTTCTCAGCTCCCTCGCCCTTGCGCTCCCACCTTCTCTATCCACCAAGCAGGGCTGAGGTGAACATGCTGCCAGGAAACGTCGGACTCCTTCATTCCACTCTCTCGCCTACCCCTCTTATTCTCAATGGCTTGACTGTAATGTGTGCATAATAAAGCTGCACCATTGATTTGTTAGGGGTTGTCTCCCCTGTCACCTCAGGAGCCCTGGTGGGGTGCAGGGTTAAGCATGGGGCCATCGTGTGCCGCGTCAGAAGCTTGAACTCACATTGCTCAGCGGTTCAAAGCCACCAGCCGGTCCCGGGGCGAAAGACGAGGTTTAGGAGCGACAGAAATCAAAGGCAATGAGGAAAAGGGAATTGGGTCGTCGAGGGAGGCCTGTAAGGTACCGAGGCCCAGGAATGCAGACTCACGAGCAAGCTACAGTGGTTTTCATGAAGAAGGAGTGCATGGGGTCGTCCCTGTCGGCAGACACTGGCTGCCTTTTTACGGCCACGAGGAAGTTCATTGCAGGGAACCAGCGGGGAGGAAGGAGCTGGCAGAACGGGAGGAAGGACGTTAGAGAGAGAGAGAGACCCTCCTCCTCACGGCAGAATCGGAATCAGCAAGAGCAGTCGGAGAGAACGCAGACGCATTGCAGGTCACTAAGATCTCTTAGATGAGGGTTCCCGGGCATCGTTCGGATTCACCCTGCGGTGCCCCTGGGCGGACTCTCACAACTGCAGACCGAGATGATGTCCTTTTGCCCAAGGCTGCCCAGAGGAGACCGGCTTTGTTTGTAAACAGGGGAGGGGGACCGCTGGCTTGTACCTTCAAACAACCTCACCACCTATTGGCCCTCTAGACCCCACGGTGTGTCCCCTCCCACAAAGACGGACAGCCTCGGAAAGCCACCGGGCTTCCAGCTGTGGAGCTTGTGGTTGGAACAGAGGCCCGTCTCCGCCCTGAAGGGAAGTTGGCGGTTTGAACTGATGCGCTGGAGTTTTGCAGCTAA